AAAGCAGCTGGAGCATTAAGTATTATAAGGTCCATTACTTGGCTGCTTTAAGTTGCATGCCTCACTGAATCTTCTCGTTCTGCTTCAATAATGCTGCTATTGGTTACAGGGGTTGGGAACGAGTACGGATAAGGAAGGGAAGGAGTACTTCAGTGATCTTGGTAAGCACAAGAAAGATTTTAAGTGGGAGGATGACAATGATGGAAACGCTATAGAGCTTGCTTTCAGCAAGAAGAAGATTGAAGCCAGGAAAGACTGGATTAGGCAATATGAGGTTGGACTTCCGTGCATATTAGTTGTGCTGGCTTGCTGCTTTTCCTTTTCCGTCATTCTCGTGTAATTGTTTTACTTTCCATCCTGTTCATGATGTTTTATTCTTTTGCAGCCCGGAACTCACCTTGATCAGACATCCCCGCTCATAAAGTACAGCGATTTCATTAACAAAGAGCTTATATTGTTCTCTGTTGCCGATCTTCAAAGGTCTATACCTTCCATGGTTGATGGCCTGAAACCAGGGCAAAGGAAGATCCTTTATGCTGCTTTCAAGAAGAATCTTGTCAAAGAATTGAAGCTTTCACAGTTTATTGGTTATGTGTCTGAGCAAAGTGCTTACCATCATGGGGAGCAGAGTCTCTACAGTACGATTGTTGGAATGGCGCAGAATTTTGTTGGCAGCAACAACATCAACCTATTCGTACCAGCTGGAAATTTTGGTACTCGAGCCAGTGTAAGTCATTTCCTCCATATCAAAGTTGGGATTAAACTAAATAGAAATAGTTACCCGCAGTTACAACCAACCATGTTTTTCATGCGTCTTCGCAGGGTGGAAAGAATGCTGCAAGTGCAAGGTACATCCATACTTGCCTTTCACTTTTAACAAGGTTCCTTTTCCCCAAGGACGACGACTGCATTCTGGACTTCCTGGAAGACGATGGGCAATCCATTGAACCAACATGGTAAATTTGCATCTATCATGCAGACAAGTGAACTCAACATTTATAAATGACTCCGGGATTATTAGCTTGCTGACACCTTCTCTTTCAGGTACATGCCGATATTACCTATGGTTCTGGTGAACGGAAGTGAAGGAATTGGCACTGGGTGGAGTACCTTCGTCCCTAATTATAATCCAAGAGATATTGTGGCCAATATAAGGAGGTTGCTGAATGATGAAATGATGGAGCCCATGGAGCCTTGGTACAAAGGGTTCAGAGGCACAATTGTAAGAGGTTCAACAAAGGAGAATGCAGTCAGCTACATATCTAATGGAGTCATTGAAGAAATTGATGAGACAACGGTCCAAGTAACAGAGCTGCCAATCCGTACTTGGACTGAGAATTTCAGAGAGTTTCTGAAATCAGTCACAGAAGGGCTTAAAGATGAGAACGGAAATCTTCCCAAGGATCCGTTGATAAAGGTTTGTGCTCTATGAGATACAGAGAGAACAACTTGTTGTATTTGCTTTCCGGTTTGCTAATTCCTAGTGACGTTGGCAGGGATTCAAGGAGCAAGGCGATGACTATGCATTTGAGTTTGACATTACATTGTCGGAAGAGAAGATGCAAGTTGCCCGGAGTGAGGGTTTGCTGAAGAAATTTAAATTGACAAGCTCTATTAACACGAGTAACATGCACCTTTTTGACCCGGCAGGCAAGATCAAGAAATACGATAATCCTGAACAAGGTAGGTAGTCCTATAATTTCAGTTTGGGTGGATTTCTTCTTCCTAACGTACAAATATGATCTAATAGAATTCTTGCTTGTTTCACTGTCCACAGTGATCGAGGAATTCTTCCACTTGAGGCTTGATTACTACGACAAGAGGAAGGTAAAGCCATATATCATAAACAGCTTCTATATGCCCTTACTCTCCAGCAGAATGAATCACCGCACAGTTCTGGGTTTGCTTAACACCTGTTGCTACTTTTTATGAATGTAGAAAGCGAAGTTGGCTGCTCTTGAGATGGAGTTACTGAGATTGGAAAATAAGGCCAGGTTTATCCTGGCAGTGGTGAGTGGTGAGATCATAGTGAACAATAGGAAGAAAGCTGAACTGATAGTGGAGCTGCACCAGAAGGGTTTCACTCCTATTCCTATAAAGTCTAAATCAGCCGTGGCTTCCGAGACAAGTGAAGAAAGCGAGGAAAATGATGACTCCGATCCTGTGAATGCTTCTGGAATCCGAGCAAGTGATTATGACTACTTATTGTCAATGGCTATTGCAACTTTGACATATGAGAAGGTTCAGAAGCTTCTTGAAGACAGAGACAAACTCAATGGGGAAGTTGATACGCTGAGGAAGATGTCAGTAAAGGACTTGTGGTTGCATGACCTAGATGCTTTTGACAATAAACTCAACGTAAGTTTGTAGACAACTCTATTTTTAAATTTCTCTCTAATCTCGTTCTACCTTTCCTCTGACTTTTGGATGCGTGTAATTATATATGTTCAGGAGGTTGAGGCACAAGAAGAGATGGACAGAAAGCTACGACCCAGAGGGAAACAGACTCGTGTCGTTGCCCCCAAAGCCGCGGCAAGGAAGATTGTTAAGAACAACCCGAAGCCTAATAAGAGCGTGGAAGAAGATCTGGAAAGGCTGAATCTGTCCAGTTCCGCAATGGACACAAGTGAGCAGCCTGGTGGGATAAGGACTTTGAACTCCCTCTGATTCCTCCGTTGCAGATGGTACTTAACACTAATGTTTACCTATGTACTTTTTTTTGTCTGAAGAATCTGTTCCGGTTGTGAAACCAAAAGCGAAGGCTGCCGCAAAGAAAGCTCCTGCTAAGAAGGTTAACTTCTCTTTCAAGCCACTCTACTAAGCCATACATACGTATCATCGAAACCGACGTTTCTCTCATAAAATTGATCTGGTTCTTTGCCAACAACAGGGAAAGCAACAGGCTTTAGTAGACAGTGACGAGGATGATGTGGAGTCACTGAAGGATCGTTTAAAAGCTTACAGGATTGATTCTTCCCCAGAAAACTCGTCAGGTGAGCTATGTGTGTTTGTGATCAGTCTGGAATCTGAAGGGCTTCTTTAGATGTACGATGTTGTGGATAGTGCTAATGCTTGCTGGTCACACACCCTGCAGCCATGGAAGCTGATGTACCGGCAGCAACAAAGAAAGAGCCCAAGAAAAGAGGTGGAGCCAGGAAGGTTGCCGTGGCGGAGGTGGTAGACCTGAATGATGACTCTGATGAACAAGTGGTGGCAGTTGCACCAGCCAAGAAAGGAGGACGAAAACCAGCTGCTGCTGCTGCAAATTCGAAAGCAACCAAAGCCCCCGCAAAGAAGAGAGGCCCTGCGGCAAAGCAGACCCAACAGAAGCTTCTGCCTGACTCGTTGAAGCCTGCGGAGAGTGAAGGAATTTCGCCAGAGAAGAAGGTGAGGAAGATGAGGGAGTCGCCTTTCAACAAGAAGAGTGGCTCCGTGTTGGGCAAGGGTGTTTCTAGTGAAGCTTCTCTGAGTGCAATTGACGAGATCTCACCGGCTTCTGAATCATCAGAGACTGCTGCTGAAAATGTTCAGCCGTCAAGAGCTCGGCCGCAGAGGGGCAACCGCCGTCTGGCCACGTACGTGTTGAGCGACGAGGAACCGGATACAGAGGAGGATTCTGGCTCTGACAGTGAGTTCGACGGAAGTGATGACTAAGATCAGATTGTTTTGGTCTGGTACTGGTGGTAAACAAGACTCGTTTCCCTGTTTCAGTACTTGTCAGAGTGAACTCGTGGGATTCTGGAATGTGGCCGCGCCTTTAATCCGTGTCGTTGAGATCCTTTGTTCTAAACTGTCTTTGAGTAGTAATCACTAAAAACAGTAGTTCCCTGTGCCAAATATTTTGAACGGAGAATAGATGCGTTGACAGCACTTTTCACAGTGGAAAATTGGACATCAGCTAGTACGGGTTCTCTTTTCCTATGTGTAGGCGTGTGTGCAATTTGCTTGGTTGGGTTTAGAGATGACAACAAAATCCGAATCCACGGGTATTCTATCCGATCAAATTTGGTTAAAGCAGGTAAAATTTACGTTGACGGGTTTTGCGCCGGGTTTGGGTTTAAATCCGTTCACTATCACCGGTTGAGTTTGGGTTTAGGTAAACCTGTCCCATGGGTACCCGCCCACATCCATATAATTAATTTTTCTGGTATATTTAATATTCTAAACAACTAATCTTCTTTATGTTTGTTGAGACGTGTCTAATTTTTTTCTTTCTAATTGTCTAGAATGAAGTTGATATTATCGAGTGGAGAGTGAAGAAGCTTAATTGACAAGGAGGAAGAAGGTTTCAATTAATCACGTTGTTTATGGATAATTTGTGATGCGCTTCAATTTTCTTGAGTTTTCTAGATTGGTTGAACAATTTGTATGGTTAATTTGTGATTTGCTTGAATTTTAGAGAATGATGTTTTATATATGGATAATTTGTATTGATTGATTTATGGCTTAATTGCAAGTTTGGTCACTCGAATTGCTATAAAATTTCACGTTTGCCACTCAAATTAATTTATTCCATTTATAGTCACTCGAATTAGTTGAACAGTTCAAGTTCGGTCACTCTCCGTTAACCTCTGTTAACTTTGACTGACGTGGCGGTCAACTCTAACAGTTGACCGTTAAATGTGTGATGTGGCAAATAAAAAATATTTAAAAAATAAAAATTAAATTTTTAAAAATTACACATCATTATAAAGAGTTTTTACCCAAATTCCACCTCCTTTCTCTGTCCATTGGTGACGAACAGTTTTTACCCATTCTCTCGCACTGAAAAATCAAAGTCAAAGTCTTCCCTTGGCCTGGCCCTTTCCTTGCCTTTCGTTTCCTCAGGCAGGGAGCCATTCTCTCCTCCTCGGGTCCGGCGTTTACCCTTGTTCCCGTCCCGTCCCGTCCAGTCCAGTCCAGTGATGAAAAGCCCGGAGCCGGCTTCCTACGCTTCCCGGACCCCTAGCTCCGGCCCCCGCTACAACGGCTCCAGCTTCCCTCCTTATTCTCCCACCTCCGCCTCAACCGCCAAGAAGCGCAACCCGGCGGCTGAGGCCTTGAGATCGATCGCCGGCCTCTTCGCTTCTTGCTTCACCCCTCCACAGCTTGACGCCTCTAGCAACTTGGATCCCTCCAATTCTCGTTCTGGTATAGTCTCGGCATCCAGTCTGAAAGCAATCAGCGAATTCAGCGATTGGAAATCTGATTCGATTTCTTTTCTTCTCTTTGTTGTTTGCAGTTGCGTCTGATGGTTCGGGATCCGGAAAGAGACGACGGAGCTCGGCTGGGGGAAGCAATAACATCTACGGAAGTCCGACCCACAACCACAAGCGAGAGCCAGGGAGCATGAAATTTACCATTGACCAGATCTACCGAGCTTCCAACTCATTCTCGCCTTCCTTCAAGATCGGCCAAGGTGGTTTCGGGACCGTTTACAAAGGAAAGCTCGAATGATGTGTAATTTTTAAAAATTTAATTTTTATTTTTAATTATTTTTTATTTGCCACGTCACACATTTAACGGTCAACTGTCAGAGTTGACCGCCACGTCAGTCAAAGTTAACAGAGGTTAACGGAGAGTGACCGAACTTGAACTGTTCAACTAATTCGAGTGACTATAAATGGAATAATTTAATTTGAGTGGCAAACGTGAAATTTTATAGCAATTCGAGTGACCAAACTTGCAATTAAGCCATTGATTTATATTTGACTTTTATTTTGATAGGAACTTGTTATTGTAAATTTTTTACGACAAAAATCCATGGGTACCCATGAACCCGCGGATACCCAACGAGTTGGGCTGGATTTGAGTTTTTCTAATTGAGTGAGTTTTACCCTTGGTTTTTTTCACAAATAAACCCGTAAATTTCGATTTGGGTTTGCCAAAGAGATAATTTGATTGGAGCGTTATTATTGGACCAGAGAGATCATTTGATTTTTTTTTTTAGGGGTAACCTGCTAAAGAATTAAAAGAGACTAGGCAGCAGGTACAACATCCAGCCGAAGCTAGTCAAGTAGAAACATCGGAGGCCTATCAAACCAAACTTCCCTAGCATCCCAATGAATTTCACTATGCGCCATGATGTGAGCCGCATTATTCACTTCCCTGAGCGTATGACGGATCATGCCGCTATGAGACATTGCCTGTATCATGTAGTTCTTCACACTGCGACCCACGATCTCCACCTCAGTACGATCTCTGCTCGAATCATGCAAAGTATTAATAGTGTTGAGGCAATCAGACTTAAGGATTAGTGGAGCAAACCCCAATTGTGTAGCGAGATGGACCCCAAACTTAGCCGCTAGCATTTCTGCCATGTCCACACTGAAAGTACCACAAATCTTCTTTGCTGTCGCGACGAGAAAGATTCCATGATGGTCACGAGCCACCATACCCAGACCCGCGATATAATTTGATTAGACAACTTTGACAACGTTAAATACTTAAATTAGTGTTGAAATTGAAATTTTCAATAAAAAGTCACCGTTTGTACTTCCTGTAAATTAGATGATATAACCGCTTAATGAATACTCTTAAAGTTGATATTTTTTTTTATAGAACTCTTAAAGTTGATATTATTTACAAATTAACCGCTTAATGAATAGTAACTTGGAAACTATTTTTTTATACGGAAATGTTTTATTATTTCATCTAAACTAGGTGGTGATGTCGCGCCGTGTCGCGCGGCGGAAATGGCCTATGAACATGTATTATGTGGCCCGTTATAATGCTTTGTTAGTATTATTAGCCTAAAATTAATTTTTTGTTAGCAGTTTTGTTAGTAAATATTGACTTGACAATATGATATTGACCGAGAAGAGATATATGCGGTCAACATCCAATTTTATCTTTTTTTTGAAAATTTTGGCTAGTAAATGATATTTACCTAAACCCAAGGAAACCTATTGATTATGGGTAGGGTATGGGTGACGCATATATGGGTCTGGAGGTTTGTAGATGAGTTTGTGTAGGGTATGAATATTTACTTCAATAATCTAAATGTTAATGAGTTGGGTATGGATACCATATATTTGAGTGTGTGTTAATTACACATACAAAAATTAGACATATTTGCATAACTTAAAAAGATTAGGTACCAAAATGTAATACACACAAATTTTAGGTACTAAAATGTAATGTCCTATTAATATGTGAGGACTTATATGCCAAAAAAATAATTTTAGGTTTTAAATTTAAAGATCAATTAAGTTTAGGTACAGAACTGTAATTTGCATAATTGAGACTTAATTCATTTTACGGTGATGTATTTAAGATGATGATTATTTACTTTTTTATAAAAAATGAAAACTATTTATTTGATATGTGTAGATATCTAGCTAAATATTTCATGTATAATTTTTGAAAATTCTAGCATGAGTGAAAAAGAAAAACTCTAGACAGAAGCAAAAGGAATACAAACTAGAACTCGCTTAAAATTTCACACCTTCAAATCCTATAGTGGAAAATGATGAATTTCTAATAAATAATAACCATATATATTTATTTTTAATTGGACTCAACATTGAGATGAAAAAGTTAGTGGTTCATACTTGTGATTAGAATACATAAAAATAGTATACTAGTTAGGGTTAGACGAAGCAGGCAAAGAAAGAAATAAAGAACGGGCTATGGAAGGTGAGAAAGAAATAAAGAACGGGTTTGGGTCAATTCTTTTAGTTGGCTTTCAATACAACAATCAACCCTTTTCACCGTAACAATTTATTGAAACTTACTTATTTAGATGTCGCATATTTCGTTACATGTAATTAGTAGAAGTTTGTTTAGTACTCCGTAAATGTACTAAATGAGTTTATAAATTCGCTCTCATAATATTTTAGAGTCGTCTATCTTTTATCATTTATTTAATATTTCACATTAATATTATAGTTTTATGTTATGGTGGATTGAATTCGTAAATTTAGATACAAAGTGAAATCTAAAAATTGGACCAATATTTAAATTTAAAAAATTTTAGGTATGAATATCTAATAAAATGTAGATACCAAAATATAATTTTTCAACAATTTTATATTAATATTAAATTTGAGGTATCAAAAAATAAATTGTTATGCAACGGTAAACAAACACGAGCTTAAAATTAAATTTAGGGTATCAAAATGTAAAATGTACATTATAATGACTAAGTTGTGGTTTAATTAAATTTGGATATCAAAATATGGAAAATTTTATACAACAGCAATACTACTTCAGCTTTATATATATTAACGTGTGATCAACGAGATTAACTTATATGTATTGCTAACTCATATACAAATTCAATGTTTCCTACGCAGGCTTGAGCAGATAAATGGTTACTGTCCAAACAACGAATGAGGATACTAACAGTCGATTTATTTTTATGGATGTCCTCTACTTCTTTATTGTTATGCTTTTGCTTTACTTATAAAGGATCATTGTGTTATTTCAGTTTTGAACATTGTTGGGGTGTTGCTAAGATACTCCGCGCAGAGACTAAGTAATACCGTGTCCAATCGACAACGTATGACGCTCTAAACCCGCTACGAGTATATAAAGGTATGAAACCCACCAAAGAGGGGGGCTTCGGCTCTCTCCTCACTTTCTACTTTCGACTATCCCTCTACACCTTATCTCTCTACCTTATTCTCTCAACTTTCACCATAAACATAAACTGACTTGATCATCGGAGCTTAATCCGGGGGGCAACCCTGGCTCTTTCACAAGTTTCTTTCCTCCCGACGAGATCAGACGAACGGATCGTGAGTCAACCCCGCACCAACAAATATCATTGTTCATACCGGAGCTAGATGGTACAAACAATTGGCGCCCACCGTGGGGCTAACTGACATTTTCGTGACGTTTGATCTCCGAATGGAGGAGAAGACCGCTTGGATCTTCAACAGAAGCAGTGTCGAAATCTCAACTTCGCTCAGTTCGCATTTTTGTGTCGAAAGCCACCGTCGCCGGAGCTATCCCAGTGTGGTGGGAGAGAGATCGGTGCTCTTATTGTGAACCTGCAAATAGAGAGAGAGAGAGGGGGAAAGACCCAACCAAAGATGCCGACAACGACCGAAAAACTCGACGACAGCTAGAGAAAAGAAATCCGAAGAACAAAGAAGAATTCTTTTTGACCACAACAAAGAGAATTCGGTTGCGGTCAGCGCGTTGTCGACATGGGCGGAGAGCGAAGGTCGTCGTTTGGAAGAAGATCCACGGTGAACAAAGAAGCGACAAAATCTATAAAAAAAAGATGACGAAGAGGAAAACCTACCCAACTCCTGGTCTTTGGTCACGTGCTCCGCCTACGCTTTGCGTTCGACCCACTCGCGTGACGCAAGCCCATATACTGCGTCCGGCCCAACTCTCCTCCGCCAGGGCCAGGCCCTGCTATCTTGTGTAGCAACTATAAAAAATTGCCTTCACCAAAACTCAACCCACGTTCAAGCATCACAAGACTAGAGTGCTGACCAGTGGACTGCATCATGTTGTTGACAACAGAACGTGCAACGCACAGTTATGAAGAGTTTACTCCGCTCCAACTCCAATTCGCGGTCCACACTTCCAAGAGGGCCTGATTCCACCACTAATGACGCACATCCGCCTAATTGTTTCACAGTTCGGGCTCCCCCGCGTCACACAACTCACTAATGACGCACCGCGCGACAAAGCATATGCGTCCCACTCACCTAGCTCGCGGCCCGCGCAACTGAGACAAAGCCCGCGCCCGAGTCAGCATCACAGGCCACAGCCTGGGTCGCGGCCCGCGACGCCTTCCTTCGCCTTACTGCAACGCGGACCAGCCCTCGCCATGGACCCAACTCGGAGCCCAATACTCGCGCCACTGGCACCACTTGCCTCGCCCGCTACCTCATCACCAGTCACGCACCGTCCCGCGTCACACTGAGCCCGCCACAAGCCCACTGCAACTTGGCCCGTGCCCAAGCGCACTGTCCAACTCGCGGCCCAAATCCTCCCTTCTGATCCGCCTCTCCAGCACACCACAAGCGCGGATCCAAGCTTGCACGTGCACCCAACTCACGGATTGACAACAGGCCCGCGGAACATGGCCGCAAAGCCTACAAACAGGCGCACCATTAAAGCACTCTAAAAATATTGTCGCTGCCGAGAGGAATTGAACCCGCGCCACTCTGCCGCCAGACAAGCAAGATTAGCAACAGGCTACAAGCGAGCCTTGTGTTTCAATGGCGCGGCGTCTGATTTTTAACTACTCGTGCCCACTCAGTTCGACAGAACAAAAAAATAGCAATAGTCATGAACTATTCGCGCCCACTCAGTTCGCATAACAAAAAATAGCAATAGTCATGCACTATTTGCGCCCACTCAGTTCGCCAGAACAAAAAATAGCAATAGTCATACACTATTCGTGCCCTCTCAGTTCGCCAGAACAAAAAATAGCAATAGTCATGCACTATTCGCGCCCACTCAGTTCGCCAGAACAAAAAATAGCAATAGTCATGAACTATTCGCGCCCACTCAGTTCGACAGAACACAAAGTAGCAATAATCATGAATTATTCGCGCCCACAAAGTCCTTAAAAAAAAAAAAAAAGTCGCCCGCCACACCTCCTCAAGAACCGTCAACAGTTTTTGTTCCGCGGCCAGGCCCCCGCCCAACTCCATCTCGCGACCCATGTCCTGGATTGTGATCCGCGCCGCGCCTCACGCGCACGGGCCCACTCGCGGCTCTCGGCCCGCCACAGAACTGCGACCATTAAGTCAACAAAAAAGCGCGGTTGTGAAGATTCGAACCCGTGCCCCTGAGTTCACAACATCAGCATTCATACCAATACGCTATATCAAAAGCTTACACATCAAATGCGCGACACTTGAATTTATTACTCTTTGCCGCCACTGCGCGAACATAAAGCTAGCTAAGGCTCACTCTTCACCACTAAAGCGTCTCGGGACCATCAGCTCGCGGCCCTCCATCGACGTCGCCCGATCCGTTCCGCGTCAAGCCCCGACCCACAAAGCAACCGCGCCAAGTCCAACTTGGTCTCAATAACCGAGTCAAAAATATTAGTGTCGCCTCCAGGAATTGAACTCGCGTCCTTCCTCCACCAGACAAGCAACATCACCAGTAGGCTGCATATGCGCCTTGTGATCCTCAGACGCAACACTCTTATTTAACAACTCTTCGAGCCGCTTCGCCAACATAAAGCTAAGTACTCTGTCGCTCTATCATTATTAAATATTGAAATATTTTACTTTCCTGAGCGTTAATGGCGCTAATGGGGAGCAAGAGGTACCCAACAATGTGGGAGATGAGAAACTCACCAAGCTCTCGACGCCTTGAAGACTCCAAACTGAGGGTTAAAAATCCCGACGAGGAGAGAGCACATTGCCTCGAAGATCTACAAATAAGTCTCAACGAAGCACACAAATAAGACTTCAATAAGAGCATCGAAGAAGCTACAAATAAGTCTCAACGAAGCACACAAATAAGACTTCAATAAGAGCATCGGTGAATCTACAATATGAGAGTGTTCAACTACCTCTATCTCCAATAGAAGAGTGCTCAACAACTTAATAAAATAGACCAACTGGGGGGCATGACGCAGGAAGCTGGCACCGCGTCATCCGAACGCGCCACCAGCTGGGGGGCCACTGGGGTACATAGGGCCCCACCCAAAATTACCGACGAAGATTTAAAAAATAAAATATAAGCTAGTGATGAGTTAAAACTCACCACCAGCTTGGGGGGGGGGGCAATTGTTGGGGGTGTTGCTAAGATACTCCGCACAGAGACTAAGTAATACCACGTCCAATCGACAACGTATGACGCTCTAAACCCGCTACGAGTATATAAAGGTATGAAACCCACCAAAGAGGGGGGCTTCGGCTCTCTCCTCACTTTCTACTTTCGACTATCCCTCTACACCTTATCTCTCTACCTTATTCTCTCAACTTTCACTATAAACATAAACTGACTGGATCGTCGGAGCTTAATCCGGGGGGCAACCCCGGCTCTTTCACAGGTTTCTTCCCTCCCGACTAGATCAGACGAACGGATCGTGAGTCAACCCCGCACCAACAAATATCATTGTTCATACCGGAGCTAGATGGTACAAACAAACATCTATTGCTAAACTTTAAGCTTCTAATTTGAAGATGTCAAACTATTTGTGCTTTGGTCGGATGGTTGGTCTGGATTTTAGACATAACTTTTTAATGAGCTAGTTTGGTTCTGCTGTAACTTTTGTAGAAGCAGTTTCTGGTTTGAGCTTTTATACAAGTACTTATCAAAAAAAGCAATTGAGTGTTTGCATGAAAAATTATTAAATGTGCTTTTAATATAAGAGGTCATGCAAAATTACTAAAAGGATTTTTTTTAATATATAATATGAATAAAAAAATTAAATAAAAAAGTAATCAAAATGGGTCTTGTTAGATTTCTTTTATATTAAATAATATTACTTTCGAATTTATTTACTCTTTAAAATGATATTAATGAAAGAAAATTTATATTTTTCAAAATATAATAAGAATAATCTATTATTTTCAAAACATCTTTTTTGCAAAAGCTGGAACGGAGCTTCTGCTTTTATGTTATACAAATCACTTTTTATCTTTTCAAAAGTCAAATTTTTAGAGTTGGTTGGCTCGGCTTCATCTTTTAGAGCAGAAAACCGCTTCTAAAAGTCGGGCCAAATGTAGGCAATATCATTTGAAGAAAAATTTATATGATGGTTGGTCAAGATAATTTTATACTCGAGTTTAGTAGAAACCATCCCAAACTCGATCAGTTGTCATTGTGGATGACCATCTACTTGAGATTGTTTTAACTACACACGAAATTGGACCACCTATTTGTAAAATTTTATAAGTTTAGGTATCTAAAATGTATGGAAACAAAAATTTAGATACTACAATATAATTTTTCAATGATATTATTAGAACTAGGCTATTCTACTTGTGCTATGTATAGGCAGGGCTTGATCTTAACTACTTGTGGAGCCCTAACTAAAGATTGATTTTGAGTAAAAGTGTTGTTAATCTAACAACATTGCCTGGCTCCTCTGAATTAGAAAGAAGGCAAGGAATCGAGCGATGAACCAAGTAGTTCAAAATCCAAAGAGATCAAATCCCAGTTTGACTTGTTGCCGGGATCCAGAGCGAAAAAGAAACTTGACTGGATCCCTCAATTCAGAAGGATTCATTAGTTTGAATCCCCAAAACCGTGTCAGGGATTTGGTCTTTTCCCTGTTCAAGTGCGGAAATGAAGAAAACTGTTCAAACCTGAAACAGATGTGGTTTCAATGGAGACTAATGAAGTGAAAAGCAGAGTCAGTGCCTGAAGAGAACCATTTCATGAACGACAACAGCCTCCTTCCCTCCTCACAGCAATGGGAAAAGCAAACAATGAGGTTTTTGGAAGCGCTGAGATGTGAAGTACCCTATTGAGAGATCACATTGAACTTGACGTAAAATGGAAACAAAAGAACAGGAAAAGGTTGCTTCTATGTTTCACTTGTTCCCCTTTTGAACGAGCTGCTTTCATCCGATTCATTCAATGCTATTCTGCATAGCAGAGCAGAGATAAATTGCAGATTCTGTACAGGTTACAGTTAGGAGGGAGTGGGGTAGGAACAACAAGAAGACTAGAAAATTGTCAAAGAAAAATAATATACCTGCTACATCTTCAAATTAAAGCTAGCTACTGCAGTCCACTTGGTGTGTCAACATGCAACACAATTCCGACAGAGCCATGCTCATCCATCTCTAAACAGTGCTTGCCTTGCTTCACTTTACCTGTGATTATTGATACTGCAAAACTTGGCTGCAAACACTCTGCTGCTTCCTTCATCACATCACATGGCGAGGTTCCGTTTGGTAGCTTCCATTTTCAACAAAAGGTCCTTGATATCCGCTTCCATCCTCACCTTCATGCCAAAATACTCCCTGTGAGCTCTTTCTAGGGCCTCCCATTCATCGACCTTCTGCTTCCGCAATTCTTCAGTCTCGATTACCCGCAGTTTGGCAATCCTACTTGCGTACTCCTCTTCAATCTTTTCCTTCTTTGCAGTAGCGATCCGTTTCAAGCCCTCAGCTTCTCTTCTTGCATCGTCTGCTCTTGCTTGGAACATTTGTGCTTCTGCTAGTTTGATTCTCACTATGCCTTCCAGCTCATCAAAAACTGGCTCCTTCAGGCTACTACTACGCAACTCAGAAGACTCAAGTGGGCGTTTATCATTCAAATCACTAGGGAAGGTAGTAGGAAGCAGAAGACTAGAGGATCTCTCCAGTTTAGGACCTTTCTCCAAAGTAGTAGACTTTCGCCAATGGCCATCCTGATTAGGCCCAGCGCTAATACTACCGTTTCCTCGTTCCTTACTAGTCGTTGTATAAACAGCAGCACTTGCAAACTTGGAAGAATCACCATCTGAGATCACCAAATTGAAAACATATGGTCAGCAAGAACTAAGAGTGAAAATAGAAAGGTGTTATTAATACAACGGCAAGGCAACACCTACCAGTTAGGAAGGCTAAGATGTAGTTATAAACTTGTCTAAGGTTAGATTTGTTTGCCATTTTTCCCAGCATCTGATCAGCAATCTCATGCAACTGTCTCCCTCTCACATCCTTGCTACGACGAAAAATTCTTTTCACATACTCGAGTTCCTTGCACAATGTTTCTGCTGTCCATTCTTTGGCAAAGTTCTGAAAAACCTCCTTCACAAAACCAAACATCTCGGAGGGATGATCACAAGCAACACAGTGGAACTGCATCTCAGTAGTATCCCCCTGAGCTTCCCCAATTGTTGGGCTCCTTCCATTTCTAATGCAAGACTCCCGCAATGCACAGTCAGTATGACACCAATGAAGACAAACGTCACAACCCACCCAGCTACAAGTATTGGATGCCATGTCAAACTTTGAGCATACCAGACACATGCACGTGCTGCAAAACCCATTCTTCTTTGAACAAACTTTGCAGTCACACTCGTCTACAGGCAAAGAACTCCTACAAGTGAGATTTCGGCATCTTAGGTTAAAGAAAACCTCGGCCAAGTCAGAGGATGAAACAATACCATTGTCCACTTTAAGATATTCCACCAGTCCAGTTCTCAAAGCAACCAGGATCTCCAGCTGTGCCTTATGGGACTTTAATAGGGTATCCAGTGTCAAGTCTGACCTGTTGTGGAGAGCGGTCTGAAATGCACATAACTGACCCTGCCTTTCAGCATTAAGCATGATCTCACAGATGCTCTCCTTCAAACATGATGCAGACTGTGCTGTCATTTCATGGAACTTTCTAGCCATAACATGGATGGGATCAGACACTATCCTGCTGATGACAGTCTCCACAAAATCAGCACCACCTATCAGAAACCGCTCTTCTTGCTGACTATTACTCCTGTACAGGCTACTGGAATGCTTCTCCCTCGCTGCCTGCTTCTTGTCATGGCTATAGGTAGGGACCATATCTTGACAACCAAGGGTCTGGGAATGGCATCTAGTGTCATCAATGTTTCTAGCCGAGACCCCAGATAACTGTTTATGCAGACTCATCTGTGGTCCAAGACCATTTTCATTTGATGTTTTGAAGCTTTCATTCACTGCTTGATCATTCGGCACACTCTGATGTAGCGATCCATTTCCATTCATCAAAATTTTCTGGTATAAGGAAGTCTCCTTGTGCTTTGAATCATTTTGACTCTGGGCCTGCCAATCAATCCCCTGAAATAGGGGGCGACTGTGAACAGATTGTTCATAATTATCGAGATCCAATGAATTATGAGTTAGCGAACAGCTTGGGTTGTGAAAAAATGACTGCGAGCCTGAACAAGACATTGATGCAGTAAACCCATCAGAGTTTGTTCGGAATGTGCTGAAAGACTGAAAACTTCTTGCCTGGCTTGGAGAGCCAGGGGCTTGCGTAGTATCTTTGGGAGCACCAATTGGTAACAATACATTAGGCAAGCTGAGAGAGAGATCGAGTGGCTCTAAAACTAGCCTTTCGTCTTTCTGTTTGCTAGCACCAGAATGCTCTTCTTTCCCCACTCTCCGAATAGGAGAGCTACCGAACAGCTCAAAGCCCCGAATACTTGGTTCCCCCAAATCATCATCCCTACCCCCAGAAGAAGGGGCACCTCTTGGTTCTGTTTCTGTCCAAGGAGCAGTAGTCACACGGTCAGGTGAAACAACCACACTCTTACCTTTACCCTTCAAGTTCTGAGCCAAATTCTGTGTGACCAAATTGGCATTCAGTTCGGCCCCTGCATTATCCTCCACCACTTCCATTTTTGACTCATGTACACCAGCTTCTGCCATGCTAGGCTCTAGATTGAATCCATTCCCCTGTGTACTCCTTCCATCCAAGTCATCAGCTTTCTTCATGGACTTAGCTTGACGATTCCCCTCCTTGCATTCACTCTGCTCCTCCAAATTCTTGACCTCCTCAGTTCCAACAGAAACCCTATCGTTGAGCGCATTAACATACAGGCTGATTTCCTTCTTCACATTGCTTTCGCAATTTGACATCTCAATACCTGACTTATCCACCTCATTCGTCTCAGACATGATAGCTTTATGTGGCTTATCAGTGTTGGCCATTTCATCCTCTCGTTCATTCACTCCAGTGTCAACCTCCACGCCAGACTTAGCCTCTTTTACTCCAAGCTTTTCAACACCATTCTCATCTTCATGTACAACCTCCTGATTCTGGTCAGGCTCTTGCTCAAGCTCACCTTCCTCCATCTCACTGCTGCTGAGACTCTGGATACTCTTTACTTCCATTTCAACAGTCTGTGTCCTAACTTCAAGACGTATTGCCTCACCTTCAACACTCCTCTTCCCCACCTCCACAAGTTTTGATTGTTCACTGCCCGACTCTTTTGACCATGTAGGTGAAGACCTCGACTTTGAAGTTGAAGACCTGCCCTTTCCTTCATCCCTATCCCTGCCCCTGAATATCTTTGACTGATTGTTACCTGAATCCCGGGACCAAGTTGGCGACTTGACCTCCCTCAGCCCTTTAGGAGAAAACCTAGCTGCAGCAGCCATTCTCTCCTCATTCCCGGTTCTGCTCCCTTTCCCCTCCTCAAAATCCTTGATCCCACTGCCTAATCTCCTCCATGAAGACACACTCCCTGCTCTTCTGGAGCGGTCCCTCTCCGACCTATATCCTTTAGGGAACTCCCTCCGCGACCCTGAGAAACTCTCAGATCGATGAATGACTCGATCAGCACTAACTCCACCACTACTGCTACCACCTCCTCCACTGTTGTAACCTTCTCTACCAGCATACCTATCAAACCCAGAGCCCAATCCTTTCCTCCTATCGAAGCTATCAAAATCATAATCTGTACGCTTGCGCACCAACCTCAAGCTGTCTCGACCATCAGCATCAACAGATTTATCCCGATCACAACTGCTGGAGGGAGATGAAGCTGGCACCAACCGCTTCCTTGCACCATCGGGTTTGTAGTAATCGCTTCGCGAAGAGGATTGACTCATGCTCGAATCTTTGAGGGGGCTCTTTTCACCGTAGAAATCAATATCATCACTTGATCTCTGCCTCTTCGACTTCAAATGACTCTCTTCCTCCCGGAGAAGAGAGAACATATATCGCTTCCACAACAACAACGACAAATACTTGAAACGGCAAGTATGGAGCTTTGAAAACCTAAAAATTGGGGCCAAGTTTTCCAATCATTTCCTTGTTACAGAGTCCAATTATCCAAACAAGTAACTACGCAGCTTTCAGCAAAGCCCGAACTTGAGGTCTTGAGAAAAAGAAAGAAATATAGGAATGTCTACAGGTCTACAGCAACAATAACGCCGCCGCCACCAACTATATACACACACTAGATAGAACAAAGGCTAGGGTTTTGAAATTGCAACAAATTTTGAATCTGGAAACAGGGCAGACTAAATCCCATGTGGACTTCAGAGAAACTATGGTCCATCGGCATCCCTTTAAACAAAGACAGTAGTGGAAAGAATATAACCCACCAAGTCCTCAAGCAAAGCAGACGCTTTTTGACCAAAACTTCACACCAATAGATTTACGAATTCGAACAACCCAACTTCAAAAGCAGGCGACTGCTTTTCTAACACGAAGCCCGAGAAGGTAAATCTGGTGTATGTTTCGAGCGAAACCATTTAAGGGAAGACACGGCTTCGAGCTGCAATCCCGAAGAGCTACTAGACACAGAGCAGGAATCGGAGAATTACCCAGGTTTGGCGAGGCGGTGAGTGAAGGAGGAGCCTGCCGGCGTGGCAGGTGAAGAGAAGAAGAAGAAGAAGAAGAAGAAGAAGAAGAAGAAGAAGAAGGCGTGGAGATTGGGGGAGGAACGAGGAAGAACGGAGAAAAATATGAGGTAATGGATGGTTGGGAGGAAAACGGAAGGAAGGAATAAATTGGATGTGTCGTTGCTTTCAACCAGTCAACGCTGTTTTTCAAAGATAGTGGAGAATTGTTTTTTCATTTTTTCCCAACGTTGTGACAAGACAACCGAACCAATGTAGCAAGTTTATCTAACCTGTTTATGCAGCGATTGGATCGGTTTGGAAAGTGATTTGAGATTCAATAGTCCGATTGAGTTTTAATTAGTTTAAGTCGGTTTTGAGGGATGGGTTACGGAACTTACGGTCACAATCCACTAAGAGGGATTCACAACTCACTTCCTAGTCATTAGATACGTTTTCTCTTTGGGTAAATGTCACATTTGGTCACTGAGATTACTAAATTGTGTCATGTTTAGTCACTAAAAAATTTTAATATCAATTTTGGTCACTCGAATTTGGAGAATTGTTTTTTCATTTTTTCCCAACGTTGTGACAAGACAACCGAACCAATGTAGCAAGTTTATCTAACCTGTTTATGCAGCGATTGGATCGGTTTGGAAAGTGATTTGAGATTCAATAGTCCGATTGAGTTTTAATTAGTTTAAGTCGGTTTTGAGGGATGGGTTACGGAACTTACAGTCACAATCCACTAAGAGGGATTCACAACTCACTTCCTAGTCATTAGATACGTTTTCTCTTTGGGTAAATGTCACATTTGGTCACTGAGATTACTAAATTGTGTCATGTTTAGTCACTAAAAAATTTTAATATCAATTTTGGTTTAAGTCGGTTTTGAGGGATGGGTTACGGAACTTACGGTCACAATCCACTAAGAGGGATTCACAACTCACTTCCTAGTCATTAGATACGTTTTCTCTTTGGGTAAATGTCACATTTGGTCACTGAGATTACTAAATTGTGTCATGTTTAGTCATTAATGGAATTGGACGGAAACTAATGGGAGAGTGACTAAATGTGACCTATTTCAGTAATTCGAGTGACTAAATGTGATGTTTCCGTAATTCAAGTGACCGGAGCTGGACAAAGGCTAACGAAACAGTGACTAAAATGTGACATGTTTCAGTAATTCGAGTGATCAAAATCGATATTAAATTTTTCTAGTGACTAAACATGACACGATTTAGTAATCTCAGTGACCAAATGTGGCATTTACCCCTTTCTCTTTTGTCTCTTTCTTATTTTTTTCAAATTGATGGTTAAGATTAAAGGAAGAGTATTTTCGGAATGAAAAAACTTACCACATAATTACCTTTCCTATTTTCTTTATAGATCATCTTTATTAAAAAAAATACAAAATACAAAATACCCACTCTTCCCTCCTCTCGCGTTCTCTCTCCTCTCTCTTCTCTCCCACATAAAAATCCTAGCCATGGTGGCACTGTCTCCCTCCGTCTCTCCAATCGCCGTCGCCGTCGTCTCCTCTTCGTCTCTCCATGCCGCCGCCGCCACCTTCTACCGCCTCCGTCACCACCTCCCACTACCTCCGGCCATGACGCAACCTCCACCTCCCACTGCCACCGCCACCCACCACCACCACCAAACCGCCTCTGCCTCCCCCTTCCTCCGCCTCCCACCTTCTGTCTTCACATCGTCGGCGCGAGGTCACCGTCTGTCCGCTGCCTTTCTCTCATCTCTTGATTTTTTTTTCAGATCTGGGATTTTTCAGATTCCAGATTTGGTTTTTTTGTGTCATTCTCTAGTGGTACGCTACCACTGGTAGCCCTACCAATGGTAGTGGTATGCTACCAATGGTACGTACCAGTGACTAGTGATAGTTTTTGCGTAATAGTAGTGTTAGTGGTACACTACCACTACCATGTACCAAATGGTAGTGGTACCAAATGATAGTGGTACGCTACCACTACCAGGTACCAGATGGTACTGGTACCAAATGGTACTAGTACGCTACCACTAGCTTTGGAGTGATAGTGGTAGCGTACCACTAGCGCACTGACGGAGTGATAATTTTATGCAGGTGGCCGGAGTGAGTCTGATTCAAGGATTTTGCCAGAGAAAGTCTGTCGGTCGGAAATCAGCCGGCCGGAGTAGAGTGGCTGCTGGAAAAGGAAGAGAGAGTTGTATTTATTGTATGATTTAAATTTTAAAAAAACATGTATCTAATATGAGTTAGAGTGGCTGCACGGCACGACACGGTTAGAGAATGACACGAGCACGGGCACGAAATATATGGGCCGACCCGGCACGAGCATGAATAATTTATGGGTCATGTCGGGCCTAAACTTCATGAGCACGAGCATGGGCACGACATGATATATTAGTGGGTCGTGCTGGGCCTAATATTTTTGAGACCTTCTTGAGTATCATAGCGAACATGGCAGGAAAAGAATATTTAAATTTGCTAGAAAATAAATATAAAATGATTATAGGTTCAAATATTAAAAAATATAAGTACCATAAAGATTATTTACTGTTATTAGAAGTGATCATAAATATATATACCTAATTACTGCCATAAGTAAAAATGGACGAAATATTAAACAAAGTCAAATTACACTCGCCATACTTCTAATTTTCTTTCCCCCCTTATTTGTTATATTTCTCAAACATTCTCGGTTAATACTTTCATTATCCGTCCAATTTGTTCCTTCTTTATCATTCCCTCTTTTATTTTCTTCCTTTTCATTAAACACTAATATGAGCAAGACATTGGCAGGAGCCGGGATCACTTCTGGCAAGGGTGTTGAAAGGTAAGTACTTCCCGCAGAAGTCTATTCTTTCAGCGACTCGTCGATCGAGACCATCTTGGGGGTGGATTAGTATTCTTCATGGTAGGGATTTGCTTGATAAAGGTCTTCGATGGCAGATTGGGGAAGGATCTCAGGTTAGAATTATGGAGGATAACTGGATCCCGGGATTTGGGCCGGAGGCAATTGAGCTAAAGGCTTCGGCGCCAGACTTGACAGGAGTGACGGTAGATTCGTTGCTCATCCCTGGTAAGAGTGAATGGTGTTTGGAGTGTCTTAATCAATGCTTCTCCGGTAGTGCAGGCTATTCAGGCCATACCATTGCGAAAGGGTGAGGTGGTGGATTGCCAAGTCTGGACAGGTGAGGGGGATGGGGAGTATACGGTGAAGTCAGGATATCATCTGGCTTTTCAGAATGCTAGAAGGGTTCAAGAGTGGAAGGCTGAGGTTTCTTTTTTCGATATGGCTTGTTGGAAAAAGCTGTGGGGGCTTCCCATTCCTCCGAAGTTGAAAAGTTTTCTTTGGAAGTGCATGAAGCGGATCCTTCCTACTATGGAAACTATAATTGAGAGGACAGGTAGAGTACCGGAGGATATTGAGCCTGATCCTGGGACTGATGGGCAGGGAGCAGCTATTGATCCCAAGTGTCCGGTGTGTTGGGAGCCGTTAGAGACATTAGAGCATATGTTTCTCTCATGTCGGCTGGCATTGGGGCTATGGGAGAGGTCGGGTTTGGGGTCAGGACTGGTGAGGCAGCCTCCATTGAATTTTGCCTTGTTTCTTCGCAGATTCTTTGAATAGGAGACCAATGTAGAGAGGATAATTCGGTTTGTGGCATTGCTGTGGAGGATTTGGAAAAGTCGGAATTGGGTGGTGTTTGATCAGGTGCAGTATGGGGTGAGTACATTGGTGAGACAGTTTGAGGGGCAAGTTCGTGAGTGGTTGGCTTTGATTGAGTTTGGTGGTTGTAGGCAGGTCCAGGTGCAGCAAGTGCGAGGACATGCTGGTGCGGATTGGGGCCCGCAGCCTGCTATGTCGTATCGTTGTTATGTGGATGGTGCTGTTCTCACTGGGTCGCATGGAGCTGGGGGGTTGGTGGTGTATGATGGGTTGGGTAGTGTGTGTTTTGTTCAAGGTTTTCCTTATGCAGGTTTGGAGGATCCTTTTCTGGTAGAGTTGGTGGCATTTCGTGATGCAATTCAGTGGTGCTCTTTGAAGGGTCTAGTTGAAGTGCAGTTCTACGGAGATGCGAAGGTCATCATTGACAAAATTCAGACCAGGAATACTCGGGATGTGAAAGGTGGCCGGATTCTTGAAGAAATTCGGAAGCTAAGACATCTCTACCTGCGATTCGAGGTGGCCTTTATTGGCAGGTAGAGGTGGCAATTAGGATCCAAATCCATGAATCCAATCCAATCCATCCACCAAATTATCCACTTAATCCAATCCATTTGATCCAAATCCAATTGGATTGGTGGATTCATGGATCAATCCATGGATCCAAATGGAAAATTACGATTTGGTTATATTTTTATATTTTACATTTTGGTACCTAAAATTTATATTTTTATAAAAAAATATCATTGGAAAATTACATTTTGGTACCTAAAATTTTCATTATGACATTTTAGTACCTAAACTTTTCAAAATTTACATTTTGGTCCAAGCTTTGGATGTCATTTGGATTCATGGATCAATCCACCAATTCATTTGATCCAATCCATGAATCCACCAATCCATTGGATCCAATCTATGGATCCACCAATCCAATCCACGAATCAACGAATCCGATCCAATTGCCACCTCTATTAGCAGGAGTAACAATCGGGTGGCCCATGAGGTGGCTAGGAAGACCCTTTCTTTGTTGCCTGCAGTTGTAGATACTTTTGATTTTTTTCGTTGGTTTGCTTTTGAGATGTAAACTTTTCTAGCTGTTTGCCTTGGTAATACAAGTGATTTATTGGTAAAAAAAAAATGAGCAAGACATGATCACGAATAGGCACGACACGGATTAAATCGTGCCTGGACTTGTACCGGGCCTAGAAAAATTAACAAATAAGCTGGCACATCACGACACGAAAACTTACGGGCCGTGCCAAACACGACACGAAATAAATGGGCCCGAAACGTGCCCTTGTCGGCCCAAGCACGACCCAGCGCCCATGTACCGCTAGGGTTCCCCTTTTTCAATGTATAGAAGAGAAGAATCACAACAACAACGTCCCTTGGCTCAAGATCCCTTTAATAAAGATACCTAAACTAAGGGAGTTGTGTATTTTAACAATTTCATCTCTTTAATCTAGTTTCGAAAATCCTGCATTCTCTTTGAAATACTAATTGGATTTGAGGCTTCTTTCACTTCCACCACTTCATTGAAATCTCTCATTATAGACTGAGATTTACAAAGTTCTGGACAAAATAGCAAGTCCTTATATAGTCGACAACTATCTTGCTCTGTTAGGGCTGTAAACAAATGTAAAAACTATCGATGCTGACCACCACTAGTAACTTGTAAATGCGGCTTCCAGAACAACCACATATGACCAACTTGAAAATTCTTGTACTTATTTTCATGCTTCCCTGTTGTAAAAGTGTTATTTACTACATTCTCACTATTTATTATAGCAAACCCTCATTTCTAATATAGCTAACATATCCATTTGTAGTACCCTCAACTTCTTTAGCATAACAGTGTGTTTGACAGGGGAGTTGAACCCCTGATATTCCAAAAAAATACGTACAATTACCTTTTTTTCTCTTTGTTTTTTAGAACCGGTCAGTAGTTGAACCGAAAAAGATAGTAGTTTAGGGTTTGGTAGTTAATCGTTACAAAACCGTTGATAGAATCGTTCATGCTATAACATATAAGACTTGTATAGTACACTAATTTAAAAATGAAGTTATCATTGCACATAGACAGTTTCAAATTCATATCATCGCCAAACTATTTAATAAATCATTCAAACCGTCTCGCAAAAAAATCATAATTTTTTTTAATTAAAATTAAAATTTAGTAATTTACGGTGCGAGTCGGTAGTGGACAATGTAAAGTCGACAACAAAGTTGGAAAATGAGAAGAGGAAGCATATATAAAATTAATAATTATAGTTTGGTGGTCTTAGTTTATGAAAAATTATTTTTGTTAAAAAATTTATGATTAAAATAGTGAACCATTGAACCAGTTAAATCGTGGTAGTTCATGTGGTTTTATGTTGAACCTTTTGGTTCATCAATAATCGTTCAAACAATGAACCAGACCACTATCGTAATTGATTTGGTGGTTCTATTAGCACAACCATTAATCCGGTTCAGTTCTTATAACAATGCATTTTCTCCCCATGCCCTTAGGAGGAGAAGGAGCCAAACACCTGCCAATCGATTTAAGCTTCAAGTGAAGGGAAATCACCTTCATCAAGTAAAGGTTGCTGCTCAAGGGGAGCTTGCAGCCCATCGGTATGAGCCCATGAGCTAATTCTACAACCTGATGTTGTTTTAATCTTTTATTTTCTATTCTCCACGAGAGTAAAGCGAAATGCATCCATTGTACCCTTATGAACCGAATTTGCAGGAGTAACCTGTACCTCTGGAGAAGAATTATTGGAAAAAAATTTCTTTATTATTACATACAATATTCACCATCTAATCAATTTGAATTACAAAAAGGTTCCGTAAGTTAAGTTCAGTTTTATATAATAATTGAATCAAATGTGATACTTTTGCCTAACTTGATATTATTATTATCATTGGTTGAATTATTTGCATTTTATTCCTCAAAACATATGCAAGATGCATATCTAGAAGATTGATTAAAACGAAGGGAAAAAATCAAAGTGAGTATCCCCAAAAGATAAAACCAAACTAGAAACTCTAAAAGGGAACCACTAGTAAAGCCTACATTACATTCGTTTCTATATATTAAGTAACTGTGCTAAAAAAATACTAAATCATCTCTCTACGTCTGAGTTCTTAGTTATCAAGGTTGCCCACACAACTGCGAATTTGAACTTGTTCATAGCTTTCCCATCCAATAGAGGGTAGACGGTGAAGAATTTGATAACGCGGAATTGAAATAGAACACAAGATTTTATGTGGTATTCTCGATCGATTGATTGATCGAGACTAATCTACGGTGAGTTTGGAACGAGCTCACGACTGATATTTTATTAGGGACTACATTGTGACGGCTGGCTTACGACAGCCTCGTAGCTAAGCTTATATATAGATAGACTTAGGGGTAAAACCCTAATGACAACCAAGTTCCTTCTTTTACCGGGACAAGGAAACAAGAGATTTGGAGGACAATGAATTAATTATTTTTGACTAAATAATTAATATCATCAACAGACTGTTGTATGGTCAGGTGAGGTTGAATCATTTGTCTTAGATTTAAAACTTGTCTCTAAGCTAAATAGTTACTCGAACTGACATTGACAGTCCATATGATTCTTGCTTTGATCATATATCTCCATACTTCAATAGCAGTAGTGATAAAATTCTTACTATGCACGTTTGATTGCAGGATGATAGTTATAGAAGCCCTAAACCCCTTCTTTTCGTGGCTTGACTACCCTTTCCTAACTTACATTTGCTCTAACCTAATTTCCTTAATGCCATAGAATGTTTGAGCAAACAGTATGATATGCTTTGATTTTATTATTAGATTACGCATAATGTGTGGTCTATAAATTTTGATTTTATTATTAGACCAGACATTATGGAAGATTACATAACATTATGGAAGATTACATAACATCATTCTATATAATTTATATAAATTAAAAATACATTATGTAAAACTTGTGAAGGGATAGTTATTTCGTATCTATCAATTAAACAAACCAATTACGTAAGTCTTCCATAATGATTAAGACATTATGTAATCTTACCTGATCTATTTTATAAATTATTTGATTTCAAATAATCATTAAATGAATTTATGAAGTTTTTAAATATAAATAGTTTCTTATCATCGCGAAGCATAAGCCAAAAAAAGTAGTAACATCTTGAAACATCAGTGACTATAGAAGAATATCACTTCCCCTTCTAAATAATGTCATCGTGATATTAAGTAAAGCTATGACTATAACATAAGAAGAATCACGAAAACCACACTAGGTCATTGATCTACAATTTGTAACGACTTGAGAGGATTTTTATTTTGGATGAAAACCTCTCTAGAACCTCTTCCTCTACAGATGAATGTTTTCTTCTTTTTCCTATTTATTCCTCGATATTAGCACATTCTTTTTAGTTTAGAAAGATACTATTTTCAAATGTTGCAAATCTTTCTGTTATCTGACCTATGTATATAGCTTTATCTCAAAGCATCATTTCTTGTTTTAACACAACAACAACAACAACAACAACAAAACATAATTTCTGGTGGATCAACAACCTTATGAGATGCAAGCACTCCTTTGGGTTTCAACATCCAGCCGCCTTAAGAAAATTATCATATGGACTCGATGCTGGCAACTGGAAGTAATGGTGATGCTGGTACTCAGTTCCACATAGCATTGTGCCACTCGAGCTAGGTGCATTTTGCATATTCGTGAAGAAGTTTTGGCTGATGAATGGGTTTCCACTCTGCGGTTTACAAATTAAGATAGGTTTTATTGTGAGGTAAAAGCTCGTAAGATATCTAAAAAGTTCTCACTCTTATATCTTTAGTTTCACATGGAGATGACCAAATACTTTGAGAGGAAACAAATATTTCTAAAAAAGATGTCATTATTTATGGAAAAATAAGTTTGAAAGAGAAGACCTGCTCAATGGGAAGATCAAATGGGTTCTGTTTTGGCTTGTTTTGCTCAATAACAGATATTTTGATTGCGCTTTCTTGCCTCTGATTGGCAGTTAATACAACAGACATCTTTTGTTGCTTTCCAGCAGAAAGAGCTTCACAATGGCCAGCCATTTCCATGTAAGGTATGTGGGGCGGCGTTGAGACCGAAGATCTTCCAACTTGATTCGTTGTTTCAGACACCTGCGTGCGTAGAAGAGAAAAATTAATATTATATAAGTTTTTATGCATGCAACACCACTTGTGCTTTTCTAGCTTACTGCAGTTAGAAGGTCAACAACACTAATGAGGCTTGGACTTTCAATAGCTTGCTCCTTATCAGCTTCTGCGTGACCCTCAGTTGTTGATGTTGCATTGTCATCAATTGTGAACAATGAAGATGTCTCCTACATATATATAAAAAAGTACCATCACAAAACAAGCGGGGAGGGGACATGGGAGAGCAACTAAAATTGAAAGGAAGTATCAACCTTGTTAGAAAGTTCATTTTCCTTTTCTTTCCTTGCTGACTTGTTCTCTTGTACATCCATGAACAATTCAGCTCCAAGAGGACATGAATCATGTGGAATAAATTCACTAAGCAACTGTTGTCGCATGGATAGCTCTTCCTATGCAAGACTTTAATGTTAGAACAAAATTTTCATGATAAAAAAGTAAGTTCTAATGGAAACCATTTTTGTTGACATAGTTATGAGGAGTACGTTTGACGGTAGTTTAATAAACTTCATTATCATCGATGCCAATGCTTCTGTAGATTGACTCTCTGATGTTACGATTGCTGAAAGCGACTTCTTTGCTTGCTCATCATCTTCCTTAGAGCCATAAGCTTTGTTTGGTTGATTTATATCCATGTTACCCGCTTGTAACTTGTTATCATCAACCAAATGAAGAAATGGATCGGCCTATAAAAAGTGTTTAAATAATAAAAGACACAGGAAAAACAAATAGTTGTCTTATTATTCTAACTTTACTAACTCTTAACCCCACTTTTGAAAGGTAGAGAGTATGAAGAATAAAAAAATGTTGCCAAGATGTAGAATCTACAATATCCTGCCCATATGAAGTGGAAGTGAAAAAAGTAAAGATAGGTAAAGAAATACCGTTTTCTCTGTCATTGCAGCTTTAGTACTAGAAACAAGTGGAGGTATGTTGTATGCTTTGGATGTAAAAATGATCATAGATGATGCCAGGGTAAACAATGATCTACGACGGGATGACTTTAATCTCCCTACAACGAACGATTATGAAGTCTTGTTAGCCACAAAGATAAAATACGAAACTCACTCAAAATACGAGCATGGTTTAAAGGGTGTGAGCACACATTAAGGCAGAACATTGACTACATGTAGAATTATTTACAAGGAAATATTTTCTTCTTATATAAATCGTAAGAGTAATTAACTTTTACCTCCTTCTCCTGCAAGAGCAAAGCTCCTTAGTGAGAACGCAAGCTGAAAGCTCCGAATTAGAGTCTCATTGGAAGAGTTCTGCATGGTACATTGTTAAGTGAATAAAATTAACAATAAATATCACCATACTTAATCATACAAGGAAGAAAACAAAATTCTCATCAAATTATAGCCTATAATTAAGTCCTTAAATTGGATTTAGCATCTTTGAGTGTCTGGTATAAGATTCATACATAGACCTGTCCTGATAACCCGAGTTATTGCGATGAAGAAATTTATGACTTGGTATTAGAGCTGGTTTTACAAAGCATTCATGTGTTCAAATCTCCATGACCCCCACTATTAACACTTGATTTAAGAAAAAATTATGATGAGCATGTGCAAAACTTCAAGCTTGTGAGTAGGGTGTGCAACAGTTAGTCTGCACTAGAACAAATGAACTTGATCCCATGAATTTTATAAATACCAAAAAAATAGATAGGATTTATATTTTGTCCGAAGATATCTTTTATTATTGGACAACGATTCTCATGGTCTAGTTCGGTTTGCACATCCCTTCTTGTGACTTGACTTTTTTTTTATGGTGTGTCTAAGAGAGTGGCTCCACGACATTAAAAAAATTACATTTACGTTATAGGCAGTATCAAAATATGAATATAGAATGATGCATATAAATTTACATGCACCTTGATAGAGAAATGTAGTTTGTGGAAAGAATACGAAAGGCAGAACTTGTGATAGAGTTTGATAGATGAAGATATGAGAAGAGGACATATTTTAAGTGAACTTGGAAAACCTAATCCCTCGTCAATCTGACATGAATTTGTTAACTTACTCCTAAAGAAACAGGTTAAACACTATAATATTTAATACGATTCCTAAAAAACTAATATTTACTCAAAAATTAATTAAAATACAAATATTCTCATAATACCAAAATAAAAATAATGATATTTTCCAATATGCTTTGTGGGCATAATAGAACTAGAACAAATAGGCAACATATTAGGGTTCTTCATAATCTATTAAAAATATAACAATTAGGAATATGATCGACATGATGATATAAAAGGAAGGGCATAACTAACCTTGGTTCTTGCAAATAACAATGTCAGGCTGTAAGTATGAGCGATTGCTTCATAATTTGAAGGTTCATTAAGAGGTGACAAGGATTGTGCCCAAATCGAAGAAAGCAAAAGTCCTATTTGCCGACTACTTAACCTAAGGGATACAATCTGCAATGATGAAGCATTTCACAAAAGAAACCAAGGTTAGATTGAAGTGGTAACTCTAACTAAATTCACTGATGCCAAGACTATCAAGCCGTACCTGTTCTTTCTCGGCAACACTCATATTACTCAGATCCGTTGGCAAAGCTGGAGCTGGCTCTTTTATGCTATAAGCTCGACTATATGAGGACTTCAATCTATTCATCATCGAAGGAGAATTTTTCATTTGACCATCATTACAGTCAACATATTTAACCTTTCTATCATCTTTCGTCTTTTTTTGAGAGGAATTTGATTCTCGTTTTAGCTTCTCGAAGAGTGCAGCTGAGGAAGAAAACACAGACACTGTTCTTGAAAGCATTCTTTGGATATCGGCCGATTTATTGGATACCGTAGAACCATTGTTGGTACGGGGACAAACAGAGGACGGGACAAGAACGATAGAGAATACACGATGTGCACCCACCCGTGTTTCATGATCATCATAGACCATAGCTCGAAGTAACTGAAAGAACAATGCTTCGGGAAATGCCTAATAGGAAGAAATATTAAGTCAGTGAAACTTGTAGAAATGATTTAAGTTGATCAACGAGGAAGTAAATGATGAAGTTATGTTGCCTTATCATGGTAGGACAAATTTGGAATGGCTGCAACAATTTGAGCAGTTCGGTAAACAGTTGCAATTAAGGTTCTTGCCATGACTGTAATGGCTGACATATTCTCCAACATTCCAGCCATCACGTCAAGAATAGGATCTGCATCCCCGACCTATCATTTTAAAGAATTGAGTGTCATATGCATTTGGGCATGTGCAAGGAGGAAATATGTGGAAGACATACAACATCAATGCAATTAAAAATAAATATGTATTTACCTAAGTTTTTACTAGTAGAAAATGACCCTAAATTGTCGATCTTGGGAAGATGAGGTTAATTACCTTTTGTGATAATTGTATAAGGCACTCATCTACTGCCTCTTGAAATTTACGATTCCACTCTATGACTTCATTGCCCAGATCAGAATCATCCAGAGAGCAGTGTATGCTTTTTCTTAGGTGCCTCATCATATCACTCAATGCACCCACAATAGCTAAAGATTGTTGGGCCTTGGTTGCTTGAGCAAGACAAGTGGAAATGCTGACAATATCAAGCTGCATGCTAGGCTTCTTTAGAACATTCTTGTGGTCAAGATGCTTGATTAAGATGGCCAACACAAAATGTGTGTTATGTCCTGCAAATGGTTCCAAAACAATCAGCTTCAACAAGAGAAAATGTCTAAGAAAAGGTTCTTAGATAATACCTGAATTCTCCACTATGGATTGCATATCCAGTAGTACAGAGAGAGCAAGGCCATCATCAGGAGCCCATAGATCACCACTGTCAAAGTAGCGAAACAAAGATTCAAGTACACGCCGCATAGTTGTAGCTTCCTTTGCTAGTTGAGCCATATTCCGCAAGCAAACTCTAGACCAGAATGAGGGATCTTTGGACTCTTCCCTTTGTTTTTATTTTAAAATGAAAAGAAAATAAATTAGGTTAAAGGAAGAGCTAGGAAGATAAAGTAAGATGTAGATAACATAAACGAGCTTATCCTAAGTGCAAGAAGTAGATAATAATGTAAAAGAGGAATTACATAGATATGTTAATTAGTTCTCCATTCTCACTAATAATGCTTCTCCACGAGGGGATTGTTGTCACAGAGTTTGTAGAAGAGGAACTTTGTTCAACATTTGTGTTCACCATTTTATTGTCTGATCCTTTTTGTGCTTCATAATTTTCCAAGACAACAGAAACAACCTATGTATGAGGAAGAATTCAACATGTAAGATGATGAGATAAAGTGAAAGATTTCATAAGAGCAAAGTGTTTACGTACCAAGTCTAGCATAGAGAGAAGATAGAAATAGAGGTAGTTAAGTTGAGAATTTAATAATTCAAGATTGGTGCAAGTTTAGTTAGTAATTTCTTGATATAGATGGTTTACAAAATCCCTTACATTCATGCAAAGAGCAGCCTTAAAACACAAACCAGTAAGCTATAAGATAAAGAACAGTGAAAAAATTCACTTACATTGTCAAAATCTGCTGAAATATGAGAGAATTCACCCATGAACCACACCTATTATACAAAAAAAAAAATCAGATTGCAAATTATGGTAGACATGGGAGATAAGTACGCGTGTGTGGAAAGAATGACAACCAACATAATTTGGTTAAACTATTCAGTTTATTTGAGTTATAATATGACATTTTTAAATAAAGTTTGGTAAGAGTATCATTGTTAAAGAAGTTTGTAATTATGAATGAGATATAAGGTAGATTTGTAACCGTTTTCATATAATGTCACGGCATGAAGTTGAAAAACATGTATAAATAAGGACATATAAGTGGGAAAACTAGATATATTAAGTTATTAGAATGATGTTTTAGTACCATTGCTGAAAGAGCTTGAAGCCCTGCTGACCGAAGTTCATTTATCTTCTCATCTTCGCCCATCTCTTGTACTAAAGCACAAAGTTTTGGAACTAAACCATCTAAATTGAAGACATAAGTGCCATCTATCTATAAAAACAAATTTGATACCAAATTAGCTTAGGATTCGTTTCTACATGCAAGCTCAAACTCAAAATACTTAACAAAGATAATCAAAAAAATAATTATTCATAATAAAGGAGGAGCATAATGAACACATCTAGAAAGATACATCAATAAACTCTCCCACCTGATTATTTACAAAGTCAAATAGAGCTTGACATCCTAATGTCCGTATCTCATTATGTCGTGTTTGATCCAATAGAATGTGAACAATTCCAAGTAAGCTACTTGCAAACAATGGCCTGTCAATTTGCAATCACTAATCATGAATTCATGTAAACAAGAACTCCAAAATATAACATTTCTTTTTCAAAAATCAAAAATATTTTTTGTTTATATTTCAAGTGCCTTTCAAGGCATAATTTGTTAGCTTAACCATTGCCACTTCTTTCACTTTCATAATGTTAGAGAAATATTGTTAAATATTTTTGTTTAAACAATAATATATAAAATCGAGGAAATATTGCCTCCAAAAAATATTGTCAGTGATGGAGTTACTTTTGAAATCATGCAATATGAGTTTTACATGATTGTACAATGAAAATGTGTTATCCATTGACTTTGAATTTTTTTTCTTTAGGTACACAATATTATGTATTTTGAGGATTAAATAGGAAAGACCTTTAAGCATGAATTGTACAAAATTTGATCTCATGTGATGAAAAATAACTCACATTTGTTCCCTACAAGAAACCAATAACTTCCTGTATATGCATAATACAACTTTGACAGAATGAAATTGCTCATTTCTCAGATCCTTGTAGCATCTTTGCTCCAACGAGGTCGTTATCTATCAAAAGAATTTGTCATGAGCATCATGATTGGGATTACTAAATGAATGTTCCAAAGTTTACTTCCAAAGTGAAGCAAATCAAGGCATAAGAGAGGAGTTAGACAATACAACAACATATTCTAACTATGATATCCTTATTAGTGAAATATGAAGGCTGGAGAACTCATTTACATGCTTCTACTTAATAGAGTCTAGTAAATATGACTCTTCTTATTGTTTGCCATACACTAGTATGATTTATTTTATCGAGCAATTAGCTTTCAACACACGAGTCAAGCAAAATGAAGATGCTCACAATTTTTCACATTTCTTTTTTTTCTTCTTCTTTTTGTGAGTAGAAGACAAGTCTAGTTATTTTCATCACCTACATTATTCAAACAAAGACATGTAGAATGAATTCGACATTTTCTATAGCTATATTATCATATTCAAATGTTTGAGTGCTTCCGAATTTGAATGTCTAATGTTATCCCAATATGTCATCCTTATTGAAAAACAAAGGAGTAGAAAAGCATATTAGTTGACTAGATTTTCCATTTTAGCTCAATTACACAAGTAATAGCTCCTAACCAACGACAATGCCATATCTAGCTTGTACCTTTGGTATTCGAAGAGGGTTTTTTGAAGCATATTCACATAGTTTACCAATTTTTCTATCATTTGGTTGCTCATCCTGCCAAAATATGTGAGAGAAGCATCACAAACAAAAACGAGATAGAATGGAGTTGTATGAAGTTGCATTCACTGGTTGATACATATTGCAAAATTCAACAAATAAGAAATACGAAAATAACTTACCAAACAAATAAAATATAATTAACTAAAAGGAAAAAAAATAAAACATCTCATATGCTTTATCAGGTTAATATAACAACACCAATTTAATTGGGTAGCTAGATATCTACTTAGTGAGATGAATCTTATGTTCAAATGAAGATACCAACAAATACAAATATAAAGAAACAAATGAGAGAAACTTACTGGGGATCGGGGAAATATATCAGAAAGCAATTTCTTGTAGCGCTTAAGAGGATGTCTTGACCTTGCCCTCAATGAAGGACAAAAGAAACACAAGCTTTCACATGCAGGAAAAATAGTCCTCGAAATGGCACCCATCTTTTGAAAATCCTAGAAATGTTATACGAGCCCTATCAAGAAAAAATGGTAACTCAAGTTTTTTGTTTCCTTCCTGTCTATGTACAATATAATGTCAATATCTCATTCTGGATAATGTCTATATCCACCCATAACCTACAATTTTCTGCAAAATAAAGAGTTTCTACTTGTCTCTTATAACTGCTTCTCTGACCATGAAAATATGGTCATAAGAAAATATGTTCATTCACAACTATATGTACATCACAAGAAACAATAAAATGCTTCTTCTAAAACCCCCCTCAACAATCAGAAATTGTTTGTATTCCTCAACCTCCAAATTTGTGCAAACAAATTAATTTCCTTTCTCAAAACTTTACAGGAAACATGTAAATCATCTCCCGAAGAGGTTTTGAGAGGGGAAAAATAAGACAAAAAGATGCAAAATATAGAAGGAATGATGTAATTGGAAGAAGCATAGGGATATTGTTGTCTCGCAGACTTGAAAAAGAAAAGAAACAAAATTATCAAATCCGTGGAGGAAAAAGAAACAAGAAATGAGATGATTTCTCCACGGATGATGAATTGAGGGAGAGGAAGATAGAAACTAAGAAAGAATCAATTGTAATATTGTTGTAGAGCTAAAAGATAAAGGAAACGAAAAGAATCAACCAAAATTTATATTTATAGCTTCATGCTTGTTGTCACGTCTATTTTTATAGATATATTCTCCCTTTCCATCACTCTCTCACTCTCTTTTGAGAATATTTGACTATCTATTTGTACATTTTGCTTTGTTTGATGATTTGTTATTGTTTCTTCAACTAAGAAAAAATAAAATAATTTTAAAAGTAGCTAATATTTTTCCGTTTGAAATTTTATTTGGCTACACTCATTTGAATAATCATAAATATCCGCTTTTTGAAAAATACCAGATGTTTAAACTTGTTTAACTAATTTTGCCATTTCCTTTGGCCCAAAATTTCAATGAGGTAAGTCCTAGAATTTCCCTCAAGCTCGCGCCTTTTCCGTGGCATAGTAACCCTAAAACTAGGTTTGGGGTTTAGAACCACTAGTACCTTAGAGGACTACTCCATAAAGGAGGGAAGAAGATACAAAGAAGAGGTGGAACAAGACTTGATGTTGAGAAAGATGGCTCCTCTCTTCTAGCTCTTTCTCCTTCTTCTCCTCTTCTCCTTCATTCAGTTTCTCTCTCTAAAACCAGAAATTCTATAAAAAATAAACTCCCTTGAATGGGAGAAAGGGGGTTTCTATTTATAGGCATCAGAAGAAGGAGAAATTCGCGGGCAGGCAGGCCAGAGATCGCGAGCGCGATCTTCTTCATGGAGGTTGTGATCTTGTGATGATGCCGTTTTAGCCTTCAGGGACAAGGCGTTCGCGAGCTGACTTTGTGGTCGCGATCCAGAAGTCGTGGCCGTGAAATTCCTCGCAGTAAGTTTGCACTATGGTCGTGTTCTCATTTAGGAAACTCTTTGTTTCTCCTCGACTGCTTCTTCACCAAGTTCGCGCCCTGAGCCTTCCAATTCGCTGTCACGATCTAGGGCTTCCTGACACGATCTTCAACTTGGCTTCACAGGCAGGGTTCTCGGCCGTAATCCCTATCTCCAGGCCACGATCTTTGATCTTCTGCCCCTTTTGCTACACTTGTGACCTTATTTTGTACCTAATTCGCATGTATTGTCTAAAGCACCCTAAAATCACGTCGAAATCAAATAGGAACGAAATAGGGATCCAATTGACGCTATTCAAACAATTATGCATATGAATTGACACGAAACAAACCTTATTATGAAGGGTAAATAACACCAATTTAGGTGTTATCAAACTCCCCCACACTTAAGCATTTGCTTGTACCCAAGCAAACCTACTCAAACCAATGCAACATGATAGATAAATTAATGGGGAATGCACTCTAGTTTTTTATTGCATAAATAAGAGTAGATGGAGACAAATGAATGTTACTATCATCCTACTGTGCAAACACAAACTCTCGGGGTGAGGACCATACTTACTATCTTAGGCAGAACATTCAAAGTGTGCACCGGGGGATTTCTAAAACAACAAATAAGCACAAGAACTCTCGATGGTGCTCTTTATTCTCTCTTTTGATTTAGGATTTTTCATTTATTGGTCACCTTTTTTGAAGTTGACGCGCATTGCACCAAACTTTTACAAATAAACCTCTCTCCCTCATTGACCAAGAGCTGATGAATCATAGCCTTCCTTTTCAAGGTCACATGTGGGGAAGTTGATGGGCAGATTCATCTTAGCCTGAGCACCACTTCCCAACCGCACTCTACATTGGGTTGCCACACATGTTGGGTACAAACGAGAGCTTTGATGTATCATGAATCGCTAAAAAGTACTTTGTACATTGGCATACGATTCCTTGAGGAGGAAAGATGCATGGGAGATGGTAAGTAGTGAAAGATGATCGGGACGCAGTAAAGATATCTGATCCCCAAACATATCCTCAAAGGGCACTATGAATCCATGAGGATTGGTTGCCTCCCACGTGAGAATCTTGATCAGTTCAATCCATGCAAGTTATTGTTAATGGGTAGCACGTGCCAACAACTGCGCCATCCTAAGCCAAGTTTAACTTAAGATGGAATTGTCGTATAGTAGCAATCAAGGTCGGAATTACTCGGGTCCTGGTACCCTAGCCTACTTCCCACCTAGTTGCTAATTAGTTAATCGGTTTTGGAGGTTTGAGTGGAGTACTTGAGGAGATAACTAGACTAGAGATTGATCAAAGCTAAAAGCAGGTACTTCGGGGAACTAATCCTCCCCCTAGCTTAGGGTCACTATGCATGTATAAATACCTAGGGTTATCGAATGTGGTGAGTGAGCTCTTTTCCATGGGCTTTCATAGTTATCCACACACCTCCGAGTACGCCTCCCCTAAACCCATATACAGTCACCTCGATATAGGCTATCGTATCTGGGCCATTAAACTTATGGCTCATTTCAATGGACACTATCCACCGTCGACACTGATGTTTTATCCTGGATTCTATCTAGGAAGGCTAACCTACGGCAGGGGTTCGGTCTCCTCGACCACCATAGGTCCCTATTCATAAATCTATCACGATTTGCTTGATGACGTATGCCCGTCTAACCCTGGAACTTCATACCCAGCGTAGAAGTATAAAGTAGGCTAATAGAGAAGATTAGGCCGACTTCCCTAAACACAATCAATAATAGAATAGCAATATAATCAACTAGATAAACACATTGATTCATTCAAACCATAAAGCTAGGGTTTGGGGTTTAGAACCCCTAGTACCTTAGAGGACTACTTCATAAAGGAGGGAAGAAGAAACATAGCATAAAGTAAAGAAGACTTGGGTTGAGGAAGATGCTCCCTCTCTTCTAGCTCTTTCTTTCTTCTTCTTCTTCTTCCTTCAACTTCTCTCTCTTATCTCTCTCTCAAATCAAATTTTTTTCTCAAAATCAGCTCATCTAAAAGGAGGAAAGAGGTCTTCTATTTATAGGCAATCTGGGGACAGAGAAGTTCGCGGCCAGAAGCATAGAGATCGCGATCGGGATCTTTCAAAGTGAGATTGGGATCTTGGAACTTTTTCGTCATGGCCTTCGGAAATGAGGAGATCGCGGGCTGACTTCGCGGTTGCGAAACACTAGTCACGGCCACTATCTTCCTCGCGGTCTGACTTTGATGTTGTCCCTGCGAGGACCATGGAGAAGCACTGGTACATCAACAACTTCGTCCTCCAGAACTTTCACCGTGCAGGGGACATCTGACATGCCATTGCCAACCGCCAGTGGAGGCGAATCCTCCGCTTGTCTGCTACCACCTACACCGAACTGGTGTGGGAATTCTACGCTACCTTCCACATGGCGGCGGATCGTCCCCACCTGGGGCGTGTTGATGGCCTCCAGTTCTGCCACGAGGGTGTAAAATAGGAGATGAGCTTTGAGTAGCTCAGGGAGGCGTTGGGCATGAGCTTCAGGCCTCTTCGTTACCAAATCTTCAAGAGGCCCACGCCCCAGGGCATCGACCTCCTCGGCCTCTACACCACCGATCTGCTTACTCGAGTATCGGGCGGTGTGGTTCGACCCGGGACGGAGCAATGCCACCATCCTGCAACCACAATGGAGGATCATCCATCTCATCCTCACCCACTCATTCTGCCCTAGTCTCACCTCCTTGCACATGATCACCAAGCGGGCGCTTTATCACATGTATCGATGCCTTGGGAGGATGAGAAGCTGCACTTGGGATCTATGGTGGCGAAGACCTTTTCCAAGTTGACCAAGCACCCTCGACATCTTTTCTACGGCGCTCTGATCACCATTATGGGGCAGAAGCTAGAGGTCAGAATCAAGGGCCTCACGGACGTCTCTGCCACTCTCGGCTCCTTCTCCCTCACCAGGGACGTCATCTTCCACCAAGGAATACTGATGGAGGCTGATGGGTGCGAGTGGGTCGAGGTTCTCTCTCTCCCTCCTAATGAGATCCACTAGGATAATGTTGTTGCTAATGATGATGATGATACATCCTCCATAGATGAGCCGATCCCCGAGGAGCCCCTTTTCCCATTGAAGGATCTGCCTCAATGAGGGAGATTGGATCGAGGCGAGTCCTCATCCGATCCTTCTGTTCCGTCGATGAAGTTCTTCACCTCCCATTTCCAACTGCTGGCCATCCAGAATTGGCAGATCCAAACTCAACATTTCTAGTTACAGGAGTAGTATTGGGCTCATCAGGCGCAATACTCTAGCCGTCTAGACCAGTTTGATGCCCGCTTGGATCGCCCCAAGTCTGAGTAGGACTTGCTTCATGCCCATATCGAGCGTAAGCGTGACCACAGTTGCCAGATGCAGGAGGTTCAGCAGCTGCCGGCTTGGCAGACTCACTGGGTTGATTCCCCACCACTACAACCGCAGGGCGACGACGACTTCATGGTGGACATAAACTTCAACGTCGATGACGACGAGTAGGTTGTAAGCTCCAGCTGCTTTCGTGTTTTTTTTTTTTTTTGTGTCTTGCTCCATGTGTGTGGGAGGGTGATCTGAGTCGTTTGTTTTCATTATTTTCTATTTTTTGAGCCTATTTGGGTGGCAACTGTTCCTAACGATTCATGATCTAGTGGTTGTTTTTGTGAACCCTTCTTGCAGCGACTAGTCCACTTTCTAGTGTACCCCATCGACCGGTCCATTTTCCAGTCCTGTTGCAGTCCATTTTTGCGGTAACATCATTCCCCTTATCCTTTCCCCTTTTCCATTGAGGGCAATGTCGATCTTAAGTGTGTGTGTGGGGGGGGGGAGTTTATCTTTGACTGCTTATATGCATTTATGTGCTTAGAGTCTAGTCCACTGTCCAAATTTTAAGATTTGAGGGGTTCAAGTATGTGTTCCTTGAAATTGTCTGCTCAATATGCTTTGAATTGACAGTCTTTATAGAACCATGCAACCTAGGAGGTAGTTGTAGTACTATGGAGGATGCTGAAGTATTCCTATCTTTC